GGGACCCAGCTAGTGCTGGCTAGCTTCAGGGAAGTTTGTTTCTATAACACCCAGACAGTCAGTCCTCAGCATCTGCCCCTCTTTTCCCTGCCAAGAGCCCCTTTTGGGCTTTATTAGCTGTGCCATCATGTTGATACTCTGGGTTGTTCAGGGCTGCCCTGTATGGCTTTCCCCAGCCCCCAGCCTTTACTCAAGGGGTAGTGATGCTCTGGATACCTTCCTCATGGTGGCCTGTAGGCCTTGCTCTTGGTTTACCCAGCTGTCAGCCTGCTCCTGCAGTCCTCTCTCCCAGACTCCTTCTTCATCCCCTCAGGCACCCAGGTTCATCCTGTCTACAAATCCCAGAAACCCAAGAATATCTTCAGTGACCTACCCTGGGGTCCCTTTCTTCTGGACACTAGCCACATAGATGGTCCTGTCTGCTGCTTAGAGCTGGGGTTCTTGGATTTTTTAAAATTCCCATGTTTGGGCCATATACAAGACTTATCACCATCTCAGAAGGAGGCAACTGGGGATGCCACTTTGTAAAACCTTTCTGAGGGTTCTCTTGCCTGCCCTGGGGTCAAAAACTGCTGGTTCTGAAGACCATGGCTCTCCTGGGCTTGGAGAGTCTTCTCTCTCCACTCGGTCCTTCATTTCACAAAGACCACCTGCCTAGACCACCTGCCTCATGGCAGGCCATGTGAGCCACAGCATTCAAACATGTGTTAACTGGCCCTTTGATCAGTTGAGGAACAGTGGCTTATTCCTTTTTGCTGTTTTCACTTGTCACTGCTTGGCGGTCATGGAGCTGGGCCTGGGCAGGTGCAGGAAGGTGATGACTAGGAATTCAGGATTCCTGCTGACCTGTGTCTCTGGACGGGGGAGTCCCATGCCATCTTCATCCCAGAATCTTACTTTCTTAATAAGGATGATTCAGAGCTTAAGCACAATGACACCTAGCAATATGTAGCATGACACAGCTTAGAAAATATTCTCATATCCGTTTTCGCACACTCTGAGAAATAGGCAGAGAAGATATGACTGTCAACAGAAAGGGACTTACCTAAAACCACACAGCAAGTTCTCAGCAGAGCCAAGACTAAAACCAGCCCCTATCTCTAGGTTAGGTCTCTTCCACCCAAGCATACCCCCTTCCTCTTTCATTCACCTGCACCTCCTGTGCATGACAGCCCCAGACAATGAAGGCCTAGGCACCATAAGTTGGCGTGTGCCCTCTGTAATAGCAAGCTAAGGTCAACCTGGGGCAGAGGCAGAGGCAAGAGAGGATGGCAGGGAGAATTATACATAGCATTGTCATTTTTCCCCAGTGTGGCTAAAAAGGCAGCCTAATGAAGCAGCTTCTTCTGGAAACTCCAAGGACTATGCCCTGGGAAGGAAAGCCAAGCCCTCAGGCAGCACTCAGGGGAAGAACAGATCCATGGGCACACAGGCACAGTGCTCCAGCTAGAATCTGGCCACTCAGGGGCTGTCACAGAAGATATAACAGTCATATCTTCTCTGCCTTATTTCTGAGACACCTCCATGAACATCCTTATGGGATACTGCAGGCCCCAAGCTTCTAGCACATAGATAAGGAGCCTGCCCCTGCCAGGTTCCTTCTAACAGCCCCAGTCTCCTCCCCATCCTCCCTGCAGTCCAACTTCAGCTAAGGCAATATTTTAGGCTACACAGCACAGAGAGAGAGAGAGGGTCTGCTGAGAGTCAACTCGGCCTCCCTGGCACAGGAAGGACCAGGCTGCCTGGGACCTACACAGAGAACAGACTTAGCCACCAACCTCAGCAGGGAAGAGGGGAGAAGTGAAGACAAAGCTATGATTTCTCATTAATCCGCTACACTATGAGCACAACTTGAAATTGGGGTAGATGGGCCATTTTCCTAGTAATTAACAATTTTATAAAGACAAATGCATGATGAGGTCAGAGTCACTAGTGAGATGAGGTCAAAAGGCCGATGTGACTCTGCCTGATGGGACCAGCCTGTGTGTACAGAAAGGATGTCAGGAACAGGCCTTAGGCCAAGGAACCCTCTGAAAAATGCATGAGCCGCTTGCCATACATTCTAATGCACAAGTTCTCCCCATGGCTTCCTCTACTCCCCTCTCACCTGTTCTCTTCTCACCACCCACGCTCTTCACAACGGAAACAGCTCTAGGCCAGGACCACTCTTTGCTGGCTGTGCTGTCTAATTGGTCTCCAGGTGCCTCTGCACAGCCAAGCGACTGGTCACCATGATTTTGACAGGCAACGGTTTCGCAGAAGCAAAGTGAAAGCCAAGAAAATACGGTTCCCTGGCCATAATGAAAGTCTGTTCTTCCAGGAAAAATAGCATGGAACCAGAAGCAGATGGATTATTCTTTCTGCCACCCTACAAAGTCCCAGTTTCACATACGCAGAAAAGATGTATCAAATCAGCACAGCTGTATGAATCATAGAACCATCAGCATTTGGCCCAGCCAGGCTCAGAGGACACCAATTCTCAGGGCTGTGTTGGGAGAGAACTAGCTGTTGAAGGCTCACTGTGTCTCAATTGCAATTCTCTGTTATCCACCATTCTGCCTGCTTCTGCCCTCATGATGATTGTGCTAAGTGGGCTACACCAAAACCATTGTGAATGGCCACCGTGTCCATCTGGCAGCACTCCGTGAGCACCAAAAATGAGTGGAAAGCCTTTCCCTGAAGGCTTTCCATGGAGACCAGTAACAAGTACCTCCACATATACTTCCCAACCCCCACCAAAGAGTGCAGAGTCTTCCCAAGATCACCATTTTTGACTGAAGGTCCCCTTGCCAGCCGTCAGAGTCCAGTTACCAGCAGAGTTAAGGGCAAAGATTTCAGAGGATTCAACTGAAAGTTCTTGAGACAAGGGTAAGAGGCCCTTCTCTTCCCTTCCAGGGCACTGACCTTGGCCAGGATGCTGGGCCACAAGACCCATGATGCCACTCTCCACTCTCAGAAATGTGGCTTCCTGTGCCTCTGAAGTGGCCAAGTGATGGTGCCATGGGTTCCCCATTTCCTCTACCCTCCAATGAGTTTGCAATAAGTAGTTTGTAAAGTCAAGCCATGTTCACAATAGCTAGAGATTAGAAATGTCCAACAAAACTCAGGAGGGGATTGAGACTGGGAAGGAGAAATGGAAAGAAACAATTTGGATTTACATATTTGTCCTCACAGGCCCTCTCAGGACAGCCACAGGAGGTAGCTGACAAGCTACATGGACAGCAGAACCCTCTAAAAAAGAAAAGTTCCAATTAGCCCAAAGAAATGAAAGCCTGTTCCCAGAGACCCAATTAAATCAGAACCAATAATGCTAGCTCTGGTTCCTGCCATTCTGCTCAGGATGTAATGAGAAAAATGAGAGTGCCCCAGCCAGCAAGTGTGGTGTGGCAGCCCTCTGAAAACCACAGAAATCACCCACCATGCACTGCTGCGAGCATGCCAGATAGCTGCTGCACCTGTGCCTTTAATAACTCAGCCTGGTGCCTTGGTCCCCACTTAGATCCAGACAAATGGCAAAGATAGTGACCCATCCCAACCAATGGCACAAAGAGGAGGACTGTGGGACCAGGCTGGGATGGTTTTAAAACTGTCAACGTTGATTCATCACTGGATCTGGGATCTGGCACTCTCTCTCCTCTGTTTCCACACCATCCATCATGGGTACCAGGACCAAGAAATCCAATAAAGACACAAAGGTGCAGCTCCCTACTCTCAGCAGGCCTCAGAAAGGCTGTGTGAGTGTTCTGGCCCAGGCAATTAGCTGAGTCCAAAGGATTGCAGAGCTAATGGTACTAACAAGCCTGTGCTTGGCACTTCACCCGCAGGTGTCTGGGAAGCAAGGTAAGAGGGGAAGTAAACTGGCATAGGCTGGTCTGGTGCTCAGGCAGGGTGGGGGTGACATCAGAGAGGGAAGCGGGCAGGAGGCTCACAATAGAGAATAAGTTGCTAATGCAGCCTCCAAGCCCCAAAGGACTAAGGGCAACCTTGGGGGTTCATTAAGGTTAAGGTGGTCATTTCTGAGGTCCATATAGGAAGGCTTCCTTGTAAAAGAATCAGGACCTTTGAAGGTTCCAAGCAAAATTTAATAAGGGAAAGCAGTCTTCTCTTCCCCAACCCTGGATTCCCCCCACGTTCAGCTTCCATGCACTTAGACAATGCATAAGCTGTGGGGCCTCCAGATCCTTCTATTCACTCCCAGAGCAGACTGAGCCTGCAGCCAGTTCGGCACATTTATTGCCACATGTTGAATATGGGCTTTCTAGGGTTAGTGCTAGTGATGGCTAATATGGGCACATAGTATCCTGACACTCTCAAACTGCAAAGTTTGCATCACTCTGTGTCATTTAGAAGCAAAAGTTAATACAATACATGATACAGCCCCACTCCCATTCCAATAGTTTCATCTCCTTCCAGGGCCTGGCAATGAGCCCCTAGAGAAAGACAGCCAAGCCAGAGGGCTTTGAGTTAATGAGCTACATGGGTTCAGTACCAAGTTGAGTGCTGTGGGAGCTGGACTGAAATGAACTAAAATATTTTCCAAATTCAGTCACTTCTCAATTACCCTTGAGTGAATTGTCCATGGCAACCCAAATTCCGAAGTCTCCAGCCACAGAGCTTAGGGCTGGATGCAGGATACAGGGGTGTGTGTGGGTGTGTGTGTGTGTGTGTGTGTGAGAGAGAGAGAGACAGAGAGAGAGAGGAGAGAGAGATATAAATTCAACACTTCAACACTAAATATTATGCACTGGTTATTAAGTTATTTTCCACTGTTTGAAATTCTCCCCATCTCTTCCTCTCCCCATGAATAATAAATATGGACAATCTGGTTAGACATGATTGGAAAATCATCAGGCCTAGCACTAGGAATAGGAGTCCTCAGAGCTTTATAATAAGCCATTAGACTCTTTTCTGTTCCTGTATGACCCAGAATTATTAGTGGAGAAACCTTGCAGATCTGGCCCTGCCATAAGTGGGCAGGAAGCAGAGGCTCCAGAGCTTACCCTTGCATGCCACGCTGTTCTCAGGCTCATAGCCAGGCTTGCAGGTGCATCGCCCAATGGGCACCATCCATTCCCCATCCCCGTTGCAGTAGAGTTTGATGGGCACGTCCACTTCCTCTGCGTTGGGGATGCATGTGCCCCGAGCAATCACCAGAGATGTGCTCTCTGCCCCCGTCATGGTCTCTGGAAACACTGCAAAATTTTGCACAATGCTGGGACACTTTTTGAAGAAGACACGGACAGAAAGAAGAGACATACAGGCTCCATAATCCTGAAAAGCGAGGTAAAAACCATTCCGAGTAAGAGGCCCAAAGCTCCTGACTTCTGTGTTTACCTTCATCAGCCTTCCCCCAAAGTCCACCTGGGAGAAGCTCTCATCTGCAGCAATGGTGTCTACTTTGAGGTAGGGGGCCTCAGACCAGAAGGCCGACTTCTTGGTGGCAATGACAGAGTCAGTCTCATAGTAATACAAGTTGAAGGTCTCCTTGCAGGATCCTGGGACATTAGGGAGGCTGCTGCAGTCTCTCACAGTGAAGCGCATCTCTGTGTAGATGCGATGGGCCCCCCGCCGGTTGATGAAGGTGGTGAGCAGCCAATTGTTCTGGTTGGGCTCGAAGACATTGCACACCTGGTAGGTGCGGATGGTGTTCAGGTTTTCATCATAGCCACTGACTTCTTCCCACTGTACATAGCAGGCCACAGGTACACACATGCAAAAACACAAAATAGAGAGTGAGAATACAAAAATAGGCATAGCAGAGGAGAATCCTGGGGCTAAGGGGCCTTAAGAGCTCACCAGTTCAGCACATTGACTTGAGAAATGAAGACATCTAAGTGCAACTTGATGTCTTAAAAATCTTATAAGAAAACTTCATATTTCTTTGCAGCCCATCCCAAAATATAACACACTTTATTCAAGAAAGCTGTCCCTTGCCTAACCCATAATGCTCATTCTGTGACTGGCTTATTACATCCATGGGGACAACATGCAGCTTTCAGCCCATGTGGTGGCAGGGACTTTCTTCCTCACTTCCACAGTCCCTGCTCTGAAAGCCAATCTGTGGATTAGAGGTCCAATTACTTGACACCCACACTTTGGAAATCCCTATCTTTGAACCTAATTTCTTTATTGTGGTGAAATTCCTTTATGTCTCTGTAAAGCACATGAATTTAAAGCTTTTCAGGGTTTCTCAACAAACTTAGATTCTCATAAACTTTTTTTCAATAACATCTATCTCTGAAAGACTGATATGGTTTGGATGTTTCTCCCCTCCAAATCTCATGTGAAATGTGATTCCCAATGTTGGAGGTGGGGCCTGGTGGGAGGTGATTTGATCATGGAGGCAGATCCCTCATGAATGGTTTAGCACCATCCCTTTGGTGATGAGTGACATCTGGCTGTTTAAAAGAATCTGGGAGCTCCCCTTCTCTCTCTCTTGCTTTATCTCTCACCATGTGACATGCTGGCTCCCCTGGCCTGCCATGAGTGGAAGCTTCCTGAGGCCCTCAGCAGAAGTAGATGCTGGCACTATGTTTCATGTTCAGTCTGCAGAACTATGAACAAGTTAAACCTCTTTTCTTTATAAATTACTCAGCTCAGGTGTTTCTTCACAGCAATGCAAGAGTGGACTAACACAAAGACCTAGACTATAAAACTGGTAAAAGTGAAGGCTGCTAAGAAGAACCCCTAATGTAGCAAATGAAGCTCTATTGTGTGCAAATTTCAAGGAAGGCTATGATGGAGGAAAATGTTGGAGGGTGTTACTTTAGTGAATAATGAAACTTTCTTAAGGGAAAGACAATCATGATTCACATTAGAAAAGTGAGCTCCCATTTATAACAGTCTTGTAGATTGGAATAAAAGAGAAGAACAACACATGTGTTAAGTGATGTCTTTCACTATTCCCAACAACTTTCAGAACTAGGTATTATTATCCCCAATTTACAGATGAAAAGACATCATGCAACTCACCCATACTTATATGGCTAAAAGAAATTACAAGAGAAGCTAGTAGAAAATACTTTGAATGGTCAAATAAAATCACCTAAGAACTTCTAGAAGATTACTTCAATAACAGGCAGTGAGGGTTGGAGGGGAGTCGGGAGGGGTCTTTAAAGGCATGGCTCCCTTAACTGAGCTCTCTAGGGCAGGGGTCAAAGAAGAGTTGCTGGATCGTTCCTTCTTCCTTGTGCTTGGAGAAAAGGAGTTAAGGAAGAATCTGCCCACATCTGGTAGCTCCCCAGATCCTGGTCTCAAGAACTGAGAATATTTCCAGGAATAAATTTAAACTTACATTCTGTTTGCCTAGAATAAAAAAAAATAGAGAAAAGAAATTAAACTTTCTAAAGTGAAAATGAATTAGGATCCTTGACTATTTAGCAGTGGTGATCAAGGTAACCAAATCATACCAGTATCTTTGAATACTGTGCTAATTGCTTATTATTTACAGTGGTGGACTTTAAATATATAGACTAGAATTCTTCATTAACGGAGCTAAAAGCCAATTATGTGTGCATGGAAAATATACTGCAATTGCTCCTTGAAAAGAGTAAAGCCCCCTGTGGATAGCAGGTGGATAGAAGCAAGGCTGTCCTCTAAACTTGTGTGAAGGAAACCAAAAAACAGGCATAGTGTGGAGAGGTGGGGAAATGGGCACGTTCAGAGCTGGCCCTGCATGCCCAGGTCTGTAAAGTGACCTCATTCATGGTCACTCTCGCTGTCTGGGCCTCTGCCACCAAGGCACCTAAACTGCAGTCAATCCAGGGTCCTCCTGGCCCCCAGTCTCTCCCAGGACTCCTAGAGTGCCAGTTCCCTCACCAACTTGAAGTCCTGCCAGTCCCTCACCAACAGATCAGCTCCTGCCAGTATCCTTGCAGCAGTTCTGGGACACACAGGCCATCATGATTCGCTACCCTGGATAGTCTCAGCTCCAGGCCAAATATCACCCAGCACTCTACCTTTCACTTGACCTCCAATCACACCATTCATAACCCACCAGCATCTCCCCCCACTCCACTCCACCTTCTGCAATGCCAAGAACTAATATCCCCAAACTCACAAATCTGTTTCCCAGTTCCAAGCCTGTTCTTATGCTGTGCTTTCTACCTAGGATGACTTTTTGTTCTTCTTTACCTGAGTTACTCCAGCTCTGGAAAATCCCCTGGCTGAATTAGATAGCATATTATAGCATATTAGTACATCCTCCACACAACAGGTAAGAACCTGTGCACACTGACCCTGGTGCACCTACCTCCCCCAGGAGTCAGTGAGACCTGAGGGGGCTGCAGGGCATCCCTGGAGTGGTGCATCCACAGTCCACATAGCTACTTCACAGCCTGCCTTGTGCCCAGCACATGGACCTCCCTATGCCCAGGTCCCACCATGTGGCCAACCTGGAAGAGAGATCTCACCTTTGTGGCCTGCATGGAGTATAAATTCACACTGTCGAGGCTCACCTGGACTTTGCTTAATTTGTTATTGATTCTCTAGATGTAAAAGAACCACTTTTTCTGTCTTCTTGAACACTGTGTTTTGTTCTATCAAATGTGTTTATTAAAGTTATGCTCTGCTTGTCTATTTTTTTTTCAGCCAGGGAGAAGTCACTGACAATGTTTCAGATCAAATTTTTAGACCTCCCTCTCTTTCCATGGCTGTTATAAAACAACATTTTCTCAGTTGACCCTACATGACTTTTGAGGAAAGGAATTATCTTTTCTTTTTTTTTTTTTTTTTTTTTTTTTTAACTCTTCTGCAATTGTTGAAACACAACAGGTCTCATGACCCATTATTCCTGTTGGGTCTCAGTACACACATGGGGCCCCTCTGTCAATGTGAAGCATGTGGCCCCATTTAGAGTGGGGGTCTGGTCACAGCCAGAGTTCTTGACCCACCCAAGATTAATGGAGCTCTGCTGTGGGAGTAGGATGGAAGCCCATCCTATGGGCTTCACCTTACCACTGAGACAATCACCACCAGGAGGTATTTAAATAAGCAAAATGAGGCCAGGTACAGTGGCTTATGCCTACAATTCTAGCACTTTGGAAGGGTGAGGTGGGAGGATGGCTTGAGCTCAGGACTCAAGGCCAGCAACACAGAGAGACCCCCATCTCTACAAAAATAAAAATGAAAAAATTAACCAAGATTGGTGGCTTGTGCTTGTAGAACCAGCTATTCAGGAGGCTGAAGTGAGAGGATCGCTTGAGCCCAGGAGGTCAAGGCTGCAGTAAGCCATGCTCGCACCACTGTACTCCAGACTGGGTGACCGAGCAAGACTTTGTCTCAAAAAAAGAAATAAAATAAAACAAGCAGCATGAGGATTTCTACTCTCATGGAGCTGGGATATTGAGAAAATGTATCTTAGAAAATGACACTGATTGGTATTATATGACCCAGCAGAAGTAATTGTTTCAAACATTAACCTCTCTGGGCCTCAGTTTTCTTATCTGTAAAATGAGAAATCATACTGGATGACCCCGAGTTGTAAAATTCTACAGATCTGATTGATTCCATGATAGCTCCTAAGGGAGTGATCAAAGCAAATTAGAGGAAATTCAGCTGCATATTCAAAGGGAAAGAGTAGAAAGAAATTGAGAGAAAGGAAGATAACTCCCTGTTGTTGGGAAAAGGCCATCATAGAGCTTCCCATTAATTTCTTTGTCTCTTTCATTCTTCTTCTGTCAACGAAAGCTCTGCAGGGGTTGAAGAAATAAGTGATCAGAGTGGGCTTCAGGAGGTACACATACTTTCCACAGCAAGTGGTAATTAGAACTGGAGGCATCAAAGAAAGAGGAGATTTTGGTTAATGGGGATAAGGGTAGAATGCCATTCCCAACAGAGAGAGACAAACATCATTCGTTTACAACATTTGGAATCAGTCTCATTGCTTTATATTTATTCCTCATTCATTCATCAATGAAAAAAATGTCTACTGAATGTTAGGTTTGTGCCAGGCATCCCATTAGCCACTGGGGATATAACAATAAGAAGCTTATAATCTAGTGAGAGAAGGAGAAATTAGAAAATGGTTATTAAAATAAGCAATAATTACATTTGTGTTAACTGCTGTGAAGGAAAATTACAGGAAGCCATGCAAGGGGGTGCAACGGATATACAGAAGATTGTCAGGAAAGACCCTCTGTATGAGTCCATTTTCTGTTGCTATAAAGGAATACCTGAAGCTGGGTAATTTATAACGAAAAGAGGTTTATCTGGCTTATAGTTCTGCAGCCTGTACAAGAAGCATGGCACCATGATCTACTTCTGGTGAGGCCTCAGAAAGTTTCCAATCATGGAAGAAGGTAAAGGAGAAGCAGGCGTGTCACATGGTGAGAGAGGCAGCAAGAGAGATGCCAGGTTCTTTTAAACCACCAGCTCCTGGGTGAACTAATAGAGTGAGACTCACTCATTACCATAAGGAGGGCATCAAGCCATTCATGAGGGATCCCCTAACATGATCCAAATACCTCCTGCTAGGCGACACCTCCAACATTGGAGATCATGCTTTAATATGAGATTAGGAGGGAACAAACATCCAAACATTACCCTCCAAGCTGAGAGGGACAGGTAGATAGAAGTTAGCCAGGACAAGTGTGCACCTTCTGGGAGCAAAGTAGGAGCAGAGCCTCCGGGCCCAGCAAAGGCAGGTACAAAGGCCTCATGGTAGGAAAAGTGGCCTGGTGCCA